AGCACCTTCAAATCTCTCCCTGACTCTGATGCCTGACAGTCCCATCTTCCTCTCTCACTCTCAAGGACCCTAATGATTACATCAGCTACCCCCATCTCCAGGTAACCCAGGGTAATCTCCTCATCTCAAGATCCTTAATTTAAACACATCTGCAAAGACTTTTGTGCCACAAAAGTTAACCACATAGTCAGATTCCAGGGATTAGGACGTGGACATCTTTGGGCGGAGGGCTCAGGGGACTTATTCTCTCATCTCCTAAACCTGTGGTTAGCATTCAGCACAGAAGTGGTGGATGGAGCGCATTTGGAGAGTAAGGGAGACGAGTGTTTGAATCCTGATTTTGGCTACTTGCTAGTTATGTGACCTTGGCCAATACACTCAAACTCTCTTAGTCTCAGTTTTTTAACTTGTAAAATGGGCCACAACGCCCACTTCATTTTTTGTCTTAAGGACCAAAGGAATGGGCAAACATAAAGCACCTTGATCCTTGTGTGCAGTAGGTGTCGAATATGCAAGAGTCAGCTCCACCTGCCTAGAGTAAGGGGACAGCTACCAAGTGCATTCCGATTATTATGTGACACAAGGTTAATTATCATTAAATTCACTGAAGAGGGGTTTTCTTTAGCCTAGCAGTTGAACATGGACAGATTAGCATTTAAGAATTAGCAGTGTGGCTTGAAAAGCTGCTCTGCTCAGTAGCTTCAATGGCAGCCTGACTTAAGACAAGGAAAAGATTTGCCTTTATCTCTGACAGGAGTTTACCAGTTTATGTTTGAAGTCTAAAGAAAATGACACTTTGGGGTGGAATTCATACTAAAGGCAATTAAATAATGCTAACTTTCTACCTCTAAATAATTTTATTGTATTTTTTAAAATTTAGAAGTTATAGGTGCGTAATAATGGTGAATTAATAAGATTCAAGAAAAATTACACATAATTGTTCAAATGTAATAAATTAGGTCATCATAGAAATAGAAGATTTGAGTTAGATGTTGGCGATATAAGGAAACTTGTGCCCAATTTTTGCCTATACCTCTTTCTGCTATGTGACCTCTGATGGTTCACATTACCTTTCTGGGCGTCATCTGTAAATTCACAGGGTTACTACAGGGATTAAATGAGATCATAAATATGAAAGCTGCATTTATGCAAAGAATATTATTATTCTTTATTCACTCAACAAACATTTATTTATCTTTACTCTGGAGTAAATACTGAAATAAAAAGAAAAAAAATAATGAGTAAGATTTTGTTTTTGCCCCTCAAGCTAATGAAGAAAGGTACAGAAACATATCACTTTTATAAAATTGCTCTCTTAAGTTTTTCTTTTTTGTTGTTGAAAACAATGCTTCTCACTCTGCTGCTTATCTGGAAGCTTTAAACTATAGGCCGCAGAACTATACTCCAGACCAATTAAATCGGACTTCTCCAGGGATGGGACCCAGAGATCAGTATTTTAAAATCTTCCCAGGTGGTTCTAATGTGCAGCCAAGTTGGAGAACCACAGTGGAGGCTGGATGACCCATTTGTCCTGGGCTCCCATAGCACCTTGCTTGTGTCTTCTGTAACACTCATGTCATAGACCTCATGGGGACAAAGAGTCCACTTTGTCACTAGGAGCTGCCACACTGTAGGCACCACTGAATGTTGACAGACTGAATCACAATGTGTCTTGATGAGAGGGTATGTTAGAAGGATTAGTTTAAAAATACTAATTCCAAAACCATCTCAATAAGGCCTCATCCAAAATAATCAGGGAAATAATGTGGGAATATTGCAATAGTTTTATGGCATTCAGGATGATGGAAGATACACATCCTTTATGTAGAGGGGAGTATAAATGTACAGGAACAAACCCCAGGGAATGTGAACCCCGAAAAACCACAGGCCTTGGTCTGTCTCTCACCCTTTAGTCATTCTTTCTCTGTGTGCCTATCACCCCGCGCATGCATGTGTATACCTAAAACAGGTGAACTGCAGATTCACAGATTTGAAAAATCTCATATTGGATACATTGCTTGCTTTGTTTCTCAGTGGCAACTCTATTTGGGGCAGATAATTAATCCAGAGGTCCTCCTCCTACCATTAAGATTTTTTTTTTTATAAAAAAGTCCCAGCTGATGACTTGTTAAGTTCTCATTGAACTTAGAGTGTCGTTTGAAATTGAAGGCTAAAACCCATGAAATGAAAATGTGGATATTAAAAATAGAGCAGAAAATGGATTATTTGGTCCTACCCAAAACGCATCTGTTTAGAATAAAATGTAATAGGATGTTCTTTGGAAAAATCATTCAGGGAAAGAAACCCAAAAGTTAGCTCTTTCTTACCTTCCTTTGCAATTTTTCAGCCACTAAATGTCTGGTACTACATAAATGGATGAAGAACACTAAAAAGTTGACCCGTAGTCATTCATTTAAAAATATTATAAAATGATTTACTAGTTTTGAAATTATGACTTTTGCCATAATGAAGAATGGAAAATTAAAGTCATTTTTGGATGTATGCTTACCTTCTGAAGCTATTTTTATTTGAATTGTGTAGCTATGTGCCTATGCATACAATATGTGGGTATGTAGGCTCTTGGGAAATGACTCTTTTGCATACATTTCTTAGGTGTATTAATTACCTGTGTTATGTGGACAAATCACATTCATTCGTTCTTTCATTCACTTATCCAGCCATTTATTTCTTTCAACCTTATATAGTCACATGCTATGCTTGTTAGGTGTGGAGTATATAATAGTGGACTTGAGAGGTTTGGTCCTGCCTTCACATTGCTGACCATGTTGTGTTCCCCCTACTTGCAATGGACATCTATGACAACATCCTTTTGCTTCTGGGTTCTTGAATCATTCCTGACTTGTGTGTGTGTGTGTGTGTGTGCACTTGTGCACATGCTTGTCTTGTTATTGATATAAATTATCACTTTTTCTGCCACTCTTAGATAATCATTCTAAACAAGTTGCTTTCCAACCTTATTGTACACCTTGTGTACTACTCTGCACAAGTGAACATCTCAGAATAACTTGATGATTCTACAGTAACACAGATTCAGTGTTGTTTCCCCAAAATGTATCATTAGAGAGAACAAATAATATATGACATGATTCATGAATTTGCAATCTTTATGGTGCTTTGGTAGTTAGCTCCATTAAAGATAGTAGCTTGAGCAAATTTAAAATTATAGATTTGCTTGTTGTTATTGTGAAGCTTGTTACATAAAAGAATTATGCAAATGGCTGTCAGGCTGTTGCTGCTGCTGTCACCCTGAGAATGCATTTTAACTTCATTCTAACATGGAAATGCTTATTGGGAGCAGATCAGACGCTTAGCCCTTTGCAGGAGCATGTCCCTTTCTTCCCTTTGAGCTAATAAGTACTGTCAAGGTTGAGGAGAGAGGTGGGAAGGTGGTAAAGGAAGGTAGAATAAATTTCTGAGGCTCTATCCTCTGGAAGGGCCCAGGGTCAATCCCTGTAAAGACAATTTAGCCAGCCTAGCACTGCTGGGGCAGCTGGTATTTTTGCCCTACAGCCTAAGCAGGCTGTTAGTGACCTTCCAGATTGTATAGGCTTTAACTCCTTGCTGAAGTGGGATCCCACTGGCTTTCCTGTTCTGTTCTCGTCTGCAAAAACTGCTAGAGCAATCTTTGTCAAAGAAAATTCTCAACATCACTCCACTCCTGGTGTGGCTTCCTATCACTTTTGAGATAAAATTTCTACCTTGGGGTTTCCTGAAAGCTCTACCATCAACTGACTCTTGCGTACTGATGCAACATGGTCTCTTAATCACGTCTATGATCCTTCTGGAACCAGACTGATCTTTTTAATATCCTGTTTATTTATTCTTTAATTTATTCACTCAGCAAATAGGATGATCAATAAATTCAGTCCAACTCTAAGAGTCTAGGACATATATTGTATCTGTTGTATGTAAACATTGTCGGGAACACTGGGATGTGTTTTTCCTCTTAAGAGTCTTAAAGATAGGGCAGGGGTTGTGGCTCAGTGGTAGAGTGCTCGCCTAACATGCATGAGGCACTGGGTTTGATCCTCAGCACCTCATGAAAATAAAATAAAGATATTGTGTCTACTTAAAACTAAAAAAAAAAAACAAATATTAAAAGAAAAAGATTCTTAAAGACAGTAAATGGAAACACAAAAGGCCATTATTGACCAGCAGTGGTAATATCTTTGTTCTTATTTTCTGCATCTTCTGCATGCTCTTTCTTGGCTCTTGATTTCAATTTTTTGACTTTTTTTTTCCCAACACTATATTTAGATTCACCTGTTCCAGAAAGTTCTTCAACTAAGGTCTTGATCATGGGTTGAACCGATTCTTTCTCAGAATTCACAGATCTAGTGAATCAGCATTGTTCTGCCCTGGTTGCTATGTTATAGTCTTTGGCTATCTCACATGAGCCCACAAGTCATGTCACCGGCCAGAAGGGAAGCTCCCTGCAGACAAGCAGACCCTGCCTCCTGTACCTTGCTTTTCCTGCTCCACGCACTCCAGTGCTCTGCACACAGCCTAGGGAGTCTGCTGAAGCTATGGGACAGTCAGCTTTTCTTTTGTCAGGGATTCAGATTAGAAGCCCAGGTGTTCCCCTGGTGCACCTATAGTTCAGAAGTGAACCCAAGCACAGTACATGCCATCAAGGAGCACTCCGCTCAGGAAAAAAAAAAAAAAGATTCATTTTGATAGCGCTGCATCAGAAACAAAGGGCCATTGCAACCTCTAGTTGGAAGAATGCAAAATTGGAACTGTGAAATGACATGCACATGGGACCTATGAGGATGGCTTGGACTGTGCTGCCTGTGCTGATAGGACTCACTAACTAGATCAGGTTCCCTCACTACCAATTAGCATCATGTTAATCTTGGCTAAAAGTGAAGCAAAGCTGCCAAGGATTTGGTGGATTTATCAGTCCCTCCCACATTGGTCATCTGAGACTAGCACTCCCTGGAACCTGGGTGGAGAAGAAAGTCCTTTCGTGACAATGTGTCATACGTTCTGGTCACTGCGCTCCTTAAAGTCACCATTTTTCTGGTCCTGCAGTGTTCTGCTATTTTTTTTTTTTTTGAAGGAATGAAAATTCAATCTCACTTAAGCCGGATTCAGAAAATAGGTCATCGATGTGAGTTGCAGTTATTTTCCTTCCAGCTTTCTTCTACGCTTGCTTTAGATTGCTTTTCTGCAAAGGGCAGATGCAGCTGCCCTGGCTGGTGGGCATTCAAGGGGGAGGTGGTGACAGGCATCACCCAGATCCCTGGGTCCTCATAGCTCGTGTTTGCTTTGTGTCTGGGCTGTTAAACTCCTGCTAAGGAACAGGAGAAATATCCTCCTTAAGCATTGTTCTCTCTCTCTCTCTCTCTCTCTCTCTCTCTCTCTCTCACACACACACACACACACACACACACGCAGCATAGTTCATAGCCACTTGATTCACCACCCACAGTTTATAATAGAACCGACCCGTGGGGTTATAAACCACTTTATTTCTGCACAGAATTTCTCAGCTTGAGGCCAAGTTGAAGGGCATTAGTCATCAGTAATTTGCAGTTGCTTTTTTAAATGTATTTCACTTCGAGAAGGTTAAGGCAGCTAAAGCTAAGATTTCCCCATGCTTTGGAAGGAAGTGAAAAATCGGATGATTTAGTTAATCATTTTCATAGCTGTGGGCATATGTTGTTCCTTAGCGACTGCCACATCATGGCTGATTTGTGAATGTGGTAACACATTGTTCTGCATTTTCTTTTGATTTTGAAAGAGATTAGACAGATTCCATTATGCCACATTTCTTTCTTTCTCTTAATATTTGTATATGTTTAAGATTTAAAATTCCTAGAACATGGGAGAAGGAAACTTAGAGATCAAGGTAGGGATCATTGGTATCTCTGGAGCTCCCTCAAGTGTCTCCTGGGTGTCTCCCTGAAGATTCAAGGTCAACAACCCTGAGTTTGAACAAACCCTGGGTTTGTCCTTGAGAAACAGTGACTAGTTCAACCATCTCACTTTTCAAATGAGAAAATTGAGGCACAAGGGGGAGGTGAAGAGACTAGAAATTTGCCAAGATTTGCAGAAGGACAATGTTAGGATGCTGGCCTTTCTCTGGCTCCTTGCCGCCTTGTCACAGGGGGATCCTGCATGCCACTCCCTGTCTCTTCCCCGCAACAGGCTATTCATGATAAACAAGATGGTTCTAGAAACATCCTCTGAGGATGAGATAGATAAGCAGACGTGTTATGACGAGGCTGTGCACCTTTTGTGGGGCTATGTCTCCTTATAGTAGGGATGCCTTTCCTTAATTTGCCCAGTTGACTCCTTGAGGGCTTGCTGTGGCACAGGGTGCCAGTGATGACAGGTACTTGGATCAGGAACATATTTTTAGAGTAGAGCTGACAGGACTTACTATCTATAAGAAGTGTTAATAAATGTGTGAAGTAATTTGGATGGGACTTGTTAGAATTCAGAAATCTTGTACATTTAAAAGAGTCCCCTCCTGTCCTTGCACAGGCTTCTGTGATCAAATCATTGTGCTTTCTCTTTTGATCTATGATATGGCTTGTGACGTTCCCGCCTGGAGCAGATATTTTCTCCACAGAAGATTGAATCGTTTCCCTAACTAGAATCAAGGATTTTGCAGAATGTGTTCTGTTTATTAATGCTTTTTTTTTTCCAATAATTTTTTTGGTAAGGTTTAGTCATTTCCACAAATGAAATCTATTTTTAGGTAGCTAAATTAGACTTTTTAATTTATAGAAGCTGTTTTGCAAAAGTTAGAGGCCAACGTGACAGTTTTATTACCAGCCCATGAAAACTATGACTTCTCTCTGATTTTTCTGTTAAGTCTTAAAAAAAAATGTTCAGACCATACCCATTTATCTTTCCCTGCCAACTCTGTGAGCCCAGGAGGCCCTGCAGCTCAGGGCTGCACCCCAGGCTGAGCAACATGTGCTGGGGTCAGCCTGGTCTCCACCCACTTCCCTGGAGACTCCTGGGGATCTGGCTGCTCTTCTTTTACGCACTTCTTTTGAAGACAAAATTCCAGACTTTTCCTAACCCCTCCTCCTCCTTACCTGCTCAGGAGCATCAAGTCCCAGTGTCTGCTCCCTGTCTACTTGAAGCTCCCTGGCCTCATCCTGTCTGTTCTCTCCCTACGTCACTGTCAGCCCCTCCTCTGGCTCCTCTTCCACATTCCTCATCCTCTCTGGATGTAAAGGCCTTGCAAGGTTCTATCCTTGCCAGCCCCTCGAGAGCCCCTCAGGGGCATGGGTGGCTGTGTCCTCTCTGCAGTATTCTTAGCTGGTCCTCCAGGCACCTTCTCCCTTCCAAGTTCCAGTTCTGCTTTCTGATAGCATCTCCTGTTTTCCACTGGAAACTCCAACTCAGCTGGTCCCAAATTGAGTCTCCCCAAAGTTGTGCCTCCTCTGTGCCCCCCATTTCAGACAGTCATCCGGTCTCAACATTTTGCCATTGATTTTTGGTTCTGCATTTTCTTTTGATTTTGAAATTCTGTTTTGAACTGAATCAATAGATTTCAATGCTAATAATTTTTTCTCTGCAATATCATCTGAGGACTTCTGCCTTAGTTCAAGCCTTATAACTACCATAATCCCCAGTCAGCTTCCTGATTAGTGAGTGGTCCTGAGTCTCGCTGGGGCTCTGCTTGCCAAGCTGGGTACCTTTCGTGGAGCCAAGTCCCCTTGCAGTAGAGATACCTTTTTCTAATTTGCCCAAATGGTTTCTTGAGAGCTTATGGCGGTCCTGGGTGGCCATGGTGACAGGTGCTTGGATATGGAATGTATTTTTAGCTCATCCTTCTACACTCCTGTCAAGTGTAAGAGTTTCAGAAAAATATAAAAAATAAGAATATCTTCTCTAATACTATTTTCTCCATTTATTCTACGGGTTGATGGAATAATCATGCAAACTTCTAAGCTTCTAAGACCCTACTTTTGGTTCACGGCAAACTCTCAGTAAATGCCTTGCTACCCTCCTTATGGGACATTTCTTACTTTCTATCTTGCAGAGCAATGACTTGTATTTGAGTTGTGTCTTTTTGGGCGTGAAGTGAGGTGAATGACATAGGCATGTGACCTAGCACAAGGCTACTATATAAGGTTACTTGATATAAACACTGCAATACTGACTGTCCATCTGATAGCTACTGCTATGGGTGGATAGTGTATACAGTGTGGATACACTGGACAGAGAGATGATTGATGTCCCAAGTGAGATGGAGCAAGATGACATGAGATTTTATTATGCTACTCAGAGTGGTGAATAGTTTAAAACTTATTATTTATTTCTGGAATTTTCCATTTAATATTTTTGGACTGTAATTCACCAAGGGTAATTGCAACTGAATAGAAAAAAAAACTATAGATAAGGGAGGATTATTATTATTTTGGGCAGGAACTTCGGAGAGGAAATAGTGCTAGAGAGAGGAAGTCACCTGTTAAGACATGATGGTGAAAGTCTTAGGTACAATTGGCTCATTTGGAAGACAAGTGGAGGACTAAAGGCAGGGCTTTGATTGAGTGTCCACATTCATGGGGAGAATGGGAGTTGGCACAGGGGAGGCAGAAGAGGAACTAAGAAAGGAAGATGTAAAGGAGACAAAGGTAAAGGAATGTTCTGGAAAGATGGAGATAGAGAACAATGGCTAATGCTGTAGGGGTGATGACAAGGCTTGAGTATGTGCACTATGTTTGTGATGGATACAAACCTTCAAAACATCAATTTAGTAGCGATTGGGCTGGAAATCAGATCTTCTGCCTTGTGAAACAAACAAACATAGCTATATATGACTGTATACGCGTGCACACATGTGTGTCTAAATGGAGATGTTTATCATTAGTGATTACATTTGGATGGTGAGATTTTATGTGTTGTAATAATTTTCTTATTTCTCTTTATTTTCTTAATATTCTATGAAATCACAACTTTTTTTTTTTCACTAGAAAACTGTCATGGTTTTTAAAGTTCTGGGTTTTATTGCTATACTGGACATTTATTGAGCACTTATAGAATGGATTTTGCCTATGAGAAAGAAAAAATTTACTAAGCCATTGCCTCTGTCCTCAGGGAATTCAGTGGTGGAAAAGACCAACATGTGAACAACGGAATGTCAGGCAAGGTGCTCGCTGCTAGGAAAGAGGACCTGTTAAGTGGGAGCATAAAGGAAAGGTCATTTCCAATGGGAACACTGGGAAAGGCTCCTAGGAGAGCTGACATCTGAGCCATACTCTTATCTGGGCCCTGTCTAGCATGCAGACAGCTTGTTTGTGAAGAAGACGGTTCCTACTCTGACCAGTCTTTACCATCACTTGATTATATGTTGGTTTGGAATTATTCTCCACTTTTTCATAGTCATGTGGTTGTTTTCTTATTTTGTATATCTTTGGATATTTTTTAGTTTTTGTATTTAACATTTGTACAATTTTCCTATGCTTGGTTTTACGACTTCTTTCTAAAAGCTGTTCTCTAGATTTGGAAGCATTCTTCAATGATTTGTTTACATATATACACACACATACACACATATGTATACACACACACACACACATGATTCATACTATATTATCTAAAAGAAACATTCTCAAAAAGCATCCCCAGAAATAGAAGTCTTGGTCATGAATTTTTCCTGAGTATAAAATGTTGCTGGACAAGTTTCTATTTAAATCACATTCGACAGGCTTGACTGACTACAGGAGCTCTCAGAGTGCAGGCTACAGGTTGCTTCACTTTCAGCAAGGTAAGGCTGTTCCTCCATTAAGGACTAATTTAGGGTATTTAACAAGGCTGGGCCCATTTGGAGTTGTGAAGGAACTGATACAGGCTTGTGAGAAACTCAAATCAGCTTGTGATAAGGGGGCTTCTGAGAAGAGCACAGTAGGAAATCATGTGGGATCCAAGGACTGACAAGAAAGCTCAGCAGACCTCAGAGGGCAAAAAAGAGAACTGATTGTTGGTCTGCTCACCAGTCCTCTGTCTTGCTCCTTTCTGTTTCTTGCTGTTTCTTCTCAGGATGGGCTTCTATTGTTTCATGTGTTTTCTGCTCTTCCACGACTTAACTTCTGCAGGCATCTGGCCAAAATAATCTCCTCCATAGAAGTCTCTTACTCACACGAA